CGTGGCAAACTGCTGTATTTTGTGCGACCAACCAACCGACTGACTGACTCCCCGATTGACTGACTAACAGCGTTAACGAAGCGTTACTTATTCCTTCGAACTTGGTATGAAATGCATTTGGCGCTTTAGAGCGATGGATGCATTCAATCTGGATTTTATTTTTCATAATAGGAAAATTTAATTTTCTTTTTTTATTTTTTAGATGGAACTTTGAGAGGTGTGATGTGATGCATGGTTGACATTTCGTTCCAATGAAAGCAGCAGAGTGAGAATTGTTAAAAGCGCAAAGGAAAATAAAGAAAAAAGCGAAACACAATAGATTTATTGTCCCAATGCTGCGGGAATAATAACATTTGTGTTTCCAATGAAAATTCAATATTGAATTTCAGGGAATTGTTGTTGGTGTTGTTGTTGTGTGGTTCTTGTTTGTGAGTTTATTAAATGAGTTAGTAGCACATAACCACTCTCTGCGATTATTGGCATGAACAGAGAAATGATGATGATGATGACGTGTAATAGAAAATGGATTATGGCCCAGAATCAATGATGAACAATTATCCATGGGGATATTTGCTTAATTGAGTTTACTTTCGTTGTGATGTGTGTGTAGTTTGGCTGGTGGTTGGCAGTGGAGGTTATAAATAGAACCCAATCGACCTTTTAGTTTTTTTCTTTCATGAATTCAATATTGAAGAAAAGAGAAAAAAACTGAAAACTCTTTAAATGTTGGTGTTAGCCGTTAACTGGGTAATCCTATTTATAATGGCATCAGGCATGATGTTTATAATCCCCCAATGGCCAACCAGCCACCCGGTTAGCATGTTAGGGAAATGTCCTTTTTTGTTTTTCTATTTACTGTTATTGCTTGTTTGCTTTCGCTCTCTTTCTCTCCCACACCCCATTCCACAGCCATGTCATGAGATGGTCAAGTTGTGTTCATAATACAGCCAAGCTAGTTAAGGATCCTGGTCATTTGTGCTCATATGTGGTTAATGGTGTCCGCTTTGTTTTCTAGTTATGTTATCCGTCGCGTTAACCTTTGCCTCTATGGCTCACTGGCTGGTTGGTTATTCGGCTGCCCTGTCCTGTTCTGGTGGTTATCTTTATTGGTTTGTTGTTCGTGTTGTTTTTTTTTTGTATTTTTATGAGGTGTCACCGCCGCCATGTGCAATCCATGTAATTTTTATGTTGAAAACATCTGAAACCACTAGACGACATGCAAACTCGTTAAAGCCGCCAGGACCCCGGCGAACATTAAACACAGAGGCCAATAGGAGGGTACGGTGGGTGTAGGAGGAGGTAGTGGGGTAGGTGGTTATCGCTTTGACGCTTCGAATAATTTAAAGTTAAATCCTTGTTTAATGGATAACAACATAAATATGTGAATATATTGCGGAAAAAAGACAAAGGAGATAAAAATAATATATGACAGTTTCTGTAACAGGTGTCTCTGTTTGAGGTTTTCAGATATTTCAATTTGGATTTTAAACATTTAGCCATATTGAAATATCCGAGAATAATAAACATTTGACTTTTTTGCCGAAGACAGAATACAATCTCCAAAATACCGAATATTGGAAATGCACCTATATGTTCCATTTGGACCTACAGTGGTGGTCACAGAATTAAAACATTTACTGTGGTAAACATTTTTTGATCAGCCCTCGATTCGTTTAAAGTATTTTTGAAATTTTTTAAATTCAGAACTCTTTGATATACTGCACTTAAGAGATGTAGTGTGAAAATAGAAAATTATTGCATGCAATTTTTCCATAAATAACGGTTTTTATTAAAATACATCGACTTTGAAGTGGCCATATAATTAAAACATTGTGTGATTTTTTTACTTTACTGCATTTTTTTAAAATATTTTTAAAAAAGGTCGTTAATTTAGTTAAATTATGTAAACTAAGCACCGAAAAAATCATTTACGGATAAAAATTTTTGAAAAAAATCTGTAAAATCTATCAAAATTGCCAAAAATTTGTACAGTACACCCTACATTCAGAAAATGAACCTTATTATAGAAAATAAAGGTCCGAATGCACCAGAAATTGCTAGAATTAATAGAAAACAATAAAAAATTCTCAAAATATTTACATATTTGAAATTAAAACTCAAAAAATGGGAATTAACCTAAAGGAACGATTCAATTTCAATAGCCTTTACTGAAGAAGGCCGGAATATTTTTGCAGTATGTGAGAAAATATCGATTGATATTGGTATTTATTATATCAAATCGATTGTTCGAGTAGTACAGAATATATTTTATCAAAAAATACATCAGTCAGAACAGAACGAACAGAGATCAACGCCTAGGTTGACGAGTAAAAGTTTCTGGCACACAGCAGCATTTTTGATGGTCAGCTCTTGGTCCTTAAAATCTATTGAATATGACAATATTTTTCCAAAATAATATTTTTTGAATAGAATAACTTCCACTTAAACTATTTTAGTATCAAGGAAGGAAAAATTTTACAGTTTGACAAATATTTGAAGTCTTGTGTTGAACATCAAAAATGCTGCTGTGTGCCAGAAACTTTTACTCATCAACCTAGGCGTTGATATCTGTTCGTTCTGTCTGACTGATGTATTTTTTGATAAAATATATTCTGTACTACTCGAATAATCGATTTGATATAATAAATACCAATATCAATCGATATTTTCTCACATACTGCAAAAATATTCCGGCCTTCTTCAGTAAAGGCTATTGAAATTGAATCGTTCCTTTAGGTTAATTCCCATTTTTTGAGTTTTAATTTCAAATATGTAAATATTTTGAGAATTTTTTATTGTTTTCTACTAATTATAGCAATTTCTGGTGCATTCGGACCTTTATTTTCTATAATAAGGTTGATTTTCTGAATGTATGGTGTACTGTACAAATTTTTGGCAATTTTGATAGATTTTACAGATTTTTTTCAAAAATTTTTATCGGTAAATGATTTTTTCGGTGCTTAGTTTACATAATTTAACTAAATTAACGACCTTTTTTAAAAATATTTTAAAAAAATGCAGTAAAGTAAAAAAATCACACAATGTTTTAATTACATGGCCACTTCAAAGTCGATGTATTTTCATAAAAACCGTTATTTATGGAAAAATTGCTTGCAATAATTTTCTATTTTCACACTAAATCTCTTAAGTGCACTATATCGAAGTGTTCTGAATTAAAAAATTTTCAAAAATACTTCAAACGAATCGAGGGCTGATCAAAAAATGTTTACCACAGTAAATGTTTTAATTCTGTGACCACCACTGTATATGTCCCATTTGAAATACCAAAAATCCTAAATGTACTAATAATGTCTTTGCAAAGTTTCAGAGCTAAATCAAAGCTTGCATCCCTTGGTTCCCGTTGAGTCCATGAAATATAAAAAGCATGAAAAGAGTTGTGGGTTTAGCTGCAGACGTTGTAGCAGGGGAAATAATTTTTGGTCTAACTACCATGTTGCGATTCGAGAATAAGTTGTGGTTAATTTTCGACTTTTTGCGCGGATAAGATGGTTCAGTCCACAATATGGTACAGAGAGTCATATCTGTTAACAAAATATGTATTTCAGAGGGAGGTTATATGAAAAAACTACACTAGGATCTGAGTGGATAACTTGGACGGGGATAAATTATATACATATCTATAAAAACCCACACTTAGGAGCGATCCAATAATAATTCGTATTCCGAAATTTGTACAAAATTGTGTAAACATTTTTAATAAAATCTTTAGACCTACAAATTTAACATTCATATTTTTTCAAATTACACCTTTATATTATTCAAAAAATTCCATATATGTATATAGAACACCATATCTGCATTTGTAAGCAAGATGTGGTTATTGTGTCCTTTATTTTCGTTTTTTATACAAAAAGTGCATTGTTTTGCTACGGAAGGATTGGTAAATTTGTTCTTGTGGTTTATATGTGGTTTTTCGTATTTATTTGTGCAATTTCCATGCATATCCCCTTGGCTCCCTACCTACATGCAACGTGTGCTTGTTGTTGTTGTTTTTTTATCATTCTACTTAACATTAAAACAAAACAAGCATACCTACATACATATACATACATATCCCCATGCATGCATACATATGTTAGTAATTGCTGGAGAAATGAGCACACATATCTGTTGTTGTCGTAGTCATCGTCGTCGAATATGGTCCTTCTTCACATGCATGCACATGCTTCCCTTTCCTTATTTGTTGATTCCACTCCTCCGGCTCCGCTTCTCACCCTGTGCAAGTGCTATTATATGCTTGCATTATTTATTAAAAATCCTCTGTATTCTGACTTTAAATTCAGGCTACAATAAAACCTTATAAATAATCGACATATTTCTCATACCAATCTCTACCCTTCTCTCGTTTCTACTTTCAGATTCATACACACATGCACAGGATATCATCTTCATAAGGCAAGAAAGCATAAGAATTAAAGGATTCAGCAACAACAACAACGACAGCAGCAGCAACTAACTACGGGGCATATAAAACGCACACGTACGCAAGAAGCAGTCATTTGCATGACTATAGCCCCCTACCCGAGCTGCCTACATTACAAGGAGGAGGAGGAGTGACTGAATGAATGAATTCAACGACGAACTTGAAAGGATTATAATTGAAAGTCAAAAGTAAAGAAATAAAGAACTACTTCCCTCAGCAGTCCGGGGGGAGTGTGGGGAACCAATTCATTTATTCTTCCCCATATTTTCTGAAAAGAAAATAAACAAAACCTAAAGCGTTGACGCTTTAAAGAAAAACACCTATCCATACGTTTACTCGTTTTTTGGTGCTCTCCCGTACATGGAAAATGTAATTTACCATTTTCAATAGCATCAACATTCTTTTTTGCGAACTACATAAAAATGGATACTGTGAGCAATTTTGACAATCCTGGTGATTGTCAGTCAAGGAATGTCTCACCCAAGGTGGGCAATGAAAACAATAGTCCTGCCAGGCATAACAACACCGCCGCTAACCTGGACAACAAGAGAATTGAAGGTGCAATTGTCGATGTTGATGGAAAACCGACATCTGCTTCAATGCCCTTGGCAACAAATAAATTAAAATCACAACAACAACAGCAGCAACATCATCAATTTCGTGCACCACAACAATTTGTTAAACACAAGAAAGCTTCCTCTTCAACATCGTCATCAGCAACAACAACAGCAACTGCCACATCCAACGTCTCAAGTCTCAATAACAACAAAAAGAACAAATGCTGGAATAAACGCCAAAACAGAACTGCCAAACACAATGCTGGTGGTTCCAGCAGCAACAACAGCAGTGGTTGTGGCCCCCAAACCGCTGCCACCGCAAACAATGCAAATTCACCGCCCAAATCCACACACAGCTCCATGGCTGAGGAGAAGCCTGGCTTAACCAAAGCCGATGTTGAGAATATTCAAAATTTAAAGAATCAAGGGCACAATTACTATCACAATTATCCGCATCCGCACTACAACAACAATCACCATGGCCCTGGTGGTGGTGGCGGCGGAGGAGGCATTGGAAATATGCCGCCTAATGACAACCGTTTAGGCTTGCCATTATCATCGGCCGATAAATTGGGTTATGGTCATGGCCATTTAAAGACACAACAACAACCATTGCATAAAAAGCCTCTGCCATCACATCGCGGCGGTGGAGGAGGAAGTGGTGCTGCAGGTGGCGGTGGCCATAACAATCATCATCATCATCATATTTTGTGTGCTGGTTCGGCACACAATACAATGGGTTCAGGCGTGGGAAATAATGCCGGCAGTGGTACTGGCGTCAATGCCAACAACTTGTCCTGCTGTCACATAAATGGTTGTGGCAGCCACATGGGCAAGGATAATCAAGCTTTAAACAACAACTCCAACCCCAATAATTCATCGGCATCGATACATTATTGCTGCCTACGTTCCAAGTTCTTTTTGCCGGACAAAAGGCCACGTAAAGGCAATTTTATACCGCCCACAAAGTTTCTCTTGGGCGGCAATATTTCAGATCCGCTGAATTTGAGTTCACTGCAGAATGAAACGGGCGATACATCAATCAAAATAACTCCGGCCACAACACCACGCCAATCGCCCATTACCACACCGCCCAAGGTAGAGGTTATTATACCGCCCAATATACACGATCCCCTGCATCTCTTGGATCCCGTTGACTCAACGGAATATGAAAAGCAACTGACTTCGCCCATGAAGAGAGGCGTGGTCGGAGGTGGTGGCGGTATTTTGGGTTTACCCACAGCTGGTGTAGGAGGGGCCATTATTCTGGGTCTACGTGGAGGACAAACTAGCAAATCGCACAAACATCGTCATCGCAAGAATCGCAAACCGAAACGTAAACGCTACGACTCTTGCAACTCGACCACAAGCACATTGGGCGATGCGCTCGACGACATAACGCCAAGTGCTCTGATCAATGCCTCGACATCAACTGAAAAGGGTTTGCTTTCGGTTTCGTTGGAGGCAGCTGAAAACAAAAGCCAAGACCAAAACAACGAAGGCGGCGTTAGTAGTAGTGGTGGTGACGACGACGACACCGAAAGGCCGGAGCGTAATTTATGTTCACCACAAGAGCAGCTCTCACTTTCACACAGCACTGCTGACACAAAGGTCGCCAATATCGACGTGGATACAAACAGCCACCAAGCCAAGTCGCCAACACCGACACCCATGGTGGCACAAGTGGCACAGGAGTCAATTGATGGTAGTGGTGCTGGTATGGTTGGTAGTGTTAGCACCACCACCGCTGCCGTTGGTTTTGGAGAGCTGAGAGAACGCGCATGTCGAGATTTGCGTTTGGATTTGATATCCACCACAGGTAGCAACTCGTGTGGTAACTCTGTGGTTAGTAGTACAGGTGGCTGTAGCGGCGGCGGCGGTAGGAAAAGAAAAATAAGTGAGAGCAACAATTCACAAAAGTCCAAGGTAAGTTGTGCAACAACGCACCGCACATTAGCATCGAACGAATGCAAATTGCATATTTATGGAATGTGGTTCCTCTAATACTCTGTTTTTTTTCTTTTTTAGAAATATTTCCGCAATGATTCCATGGATAAGATTGTCAGCCCCGTTGTTCCCCAGCCGGGTGCTTGGAAAAGACCACCAAGGACAACAGCCTCTGGAGCACGCAAATCCTCAAATAGACGTTCGCGATCGATAAGTGAGAGCACTATTGCTGATCTAAGTCCTGTCGAAGAAAATGCCAAAGCTTTAGTAGAAGGTAAGTCACACGCGAGGGATTCATAATTTTACCTTTTGTTAACATTTTTTTATTTACAGAAATACCCCGCGATGACACCCCTGATTTAATGAAGGTCGATTCGACATCAGAATTCAGCACATTGCTTGGTAGCCCCTTGAGCACCGCTTCTGGTGGTACATCTATAAATGCTGGTGAAGGCGATAATATGGCAGATCTTTTAAATGAAACTGCCGATACTAGCAATGCCTTAAAATTGGCGGAAAATGTCAAGAAGGAAATGGATTCCATGACAGTGTCCACAGTGAAGAACATCAAACCGAAATTTCTACCGGATGGCAGTAAATATCGTTATGGCAATTACGATCGCTATGCCGGTCTCCGACATTTAAATGAATTCATGGATATTCGCCTTCAAGTTTTCATGCAATATCCCGAATTGTTTAAGAACAAGGACATTTTAGATATTGGCTGCAATGTTGGCCATATGACCATATCGGTGGCACGGAAATTGGCTCCCAAGTCGATTTTGGGAATTGATGTAGACAAAGAATTAATAGCCAGAGCCCGGCGGAACCTGGCCATGTATGTACGGATACCGGTGGAGGCGATAAAAAAGGAGAATGTAGAGGCCTCATCGGATGCAGATGTCAAGAATAAAGATAAAAATGTCAAAGCCAAGCCAGGAAGGCGTAGACGTAAAAAGAAAAAGAATCGCATGGATATAAGTCAGCAGCGCAACAACATGAATTGGGGTCACTTCCAACATCACCATGCTATGCATTATCCACATCACCATCATCATCATCACCACCATCATCATCACCACCACCATCATCACCCGCACGGTAGTATTGCCACAGAGCAGATCTGTACCAAACTTGATGCCACAGAATTCTTTCCCATATCATTTCCGCTGTGCTATGGTGGAATAACCCAGTCCACAGTAAAAATGGCTAGTCCCCAAAATCTAGAATCTCAATCACCTGCCTCAACCAGTACTAGTGTCAGTACGACAACTAAAAGTACACCTGGACATCCAGCAAGTGGTAGTGGAGGAGGTGGTGGTGGCGGAGTCGGTGGTGCAGGGAACAAACAATGCAGCCAAAATTCGTCGACGACAAATGTCCGAACACAAATTTCAAATTCGAAAAATGAATTTCCCCAAAATGTATTCTTTCGTCAGACGAATTATGTACTCAAAGATGAAAATCTCCTGGCCAATGATCCGCAGCAATATGATCTCATATTATGTTTATCGGTAACGAAATGGATTCATTTAAATTTTGGTGATACCGGTTTGAAAATGGCCTTTAAACGGATGTTTAATCAGCTGAGGCCAGGTGGAAAACTAATCCTGGAAGCGCAAAACTGGGCTAGCTATAAGAAAAAGAAGAATTTAACGGTAAGAAGATAACTCATTTACAAAATTCAATTTGTTATTAACTTTGAAAATGTTTCCGTTCCTTTTTAGGAGGAAATCTATAACAATTACAACAACATTGAATTCTTCCCCAACAAATTCCATGAGTATTTATTGAGTTCTGAAGTGGGTTTCAGTCACAGCTACACCTTGGGCATACCAAAACATTTGAGCAAAGGCTTTAGTCGACCTATACAGGTAAGCATTCGAATGGAATAATAAAATCATAAAGTATAAATATCAGACATACAGCTCAAATACTTTCAAAAAGGTGTATGGATCTGTTCTCAGCAACATAATATATCCCTCGAACTTTGCTAACTAAACTCTGTAAATTATTGTTTTTTCTTTTAATATTTTCAGCTCTATGCCAAAGGCGATTATACACCAAATCATGTGAGATGGTCAGATGCCTATTATCCACAAACACCATTTGAGGCATATCGTGGTATTTATGCAACAATGCCACCACGGCCTACAGGAATGCAATCCTCCTATCCTCTACTGTCCTCGACAAGATCACAAAACTACGATACACCACAATATACGGGAGGAGGCTCCGGTCCATACAGCTGTCGTCAGACACCAATGCATCAACCCTCAACATCCCAATACTACAATCCCTTGGAATCGGATTCATACCAGCCCTCTTATGATATGGAATATTTGAATCATATGTATGTATTTGCATCACCTCTGTATCAGACGGTGTGGTCACCACCAACCAGTATGCGTAAGAGCTCATCACACACTCCCGTTTTCGGTAGTGTTCGAGATGCTGAATTGGAGGGCGATGGCAATGCCATGCCTGGTGGTAGTTACCATCGACATGTATACCCTCCAAATGATGAAATTTCATCACCAAATGCCAATTCCGGAAATGCTTTCAATTCCATACGAGATCCCGACACGGATGATTCCAACCAACAAAGACCACATGTTTATGCCACCAACTGTGGCGAAAGTTCATCATCGCCACATCCGCATGGCGGCATGAATCCCAGCGACACTGAAGCTGTGGATGAAAGTTTAATGCTCGATGATGAGAGTCGAACCAATTGTTGTGATTTAAGCGAAGCTTAAAATCGGACACAACATTTTTCCATGTCACACATGGCTGCAAAAAAGACCAGTTTCTCATTTTAAAAAAGATCAACACAAGAAAATGTCAAGCTTTTTGAAGACAAATATTTATAGAAATAACAACAACAAGAGAAAAGTCTAAAACGCTTATTAATGATATTTTTGTATTTGAGAAATATTACACCACTATATACAAAAATATATTATATTGAATTTTATGTAAAAAACAAAATACAACCAGATGGAAAACAAAACATTAAATAAGTTTAGAATATTTATACATTTTTATTTTATTTTTATCATTTTATTTTTTTTAAAAACAAAGCCGGGGTTACAAATATTTTATATAAACATATATATTTATTTGTTTCGATATATATAGTATACATATATATACAAACACAAAAAGTAAAAATTACCTCCTTAAGGCTATACATACGTATTGAATATTATATACACATTCAAACATATATTTGTAATATGGATGGATGCGTACGTACATTATGCATAATCGAAAGATTTAAAATATTTAAAAAAAAAAACAAAAGAAAATATGAAAATAATGTTTGGAACTACTTTCAAAATTATTAACAAAATATTTGTTTGTGTTACACATTTAACTAATTTTAATCCATTTTGCCCACCCAGCCACAACAAACACACACTATGTTTACACCAAGTATATATAAAATACAACAACAATATATAAATAGAATATAAAAATGTAATGAAATAGCCACACAGTAAAAATTTGATTATGTTTTACATTCACAAAACGATATGTAAACAAAATTTTCAAAATCAACTGCTTCTAATTAGCCTCTAGTTAAGTTATCTAACCGTAGATTAAACAACCTTTTACCTATACATATATATCAGTTGATTTTGTTTGTCTAACTCAACATTCTCTACTGTTGTTTATTTTTATTTGGTAATTTATAAACTCTATGAATTATTTTTTCTAAGAATATGTTTTTTTATTAGAATTTCCATGAATTACAAAAGAAAGCATGAAAAGAAAAAAACAAAATACAAAGATATATAATAAAAACAAATAAAGTTTAAAATGAAGTTAATTAAAATAAAATAATTATTATTTATTGTGAATGATATATAGGTAAGAGAATAACATGTATATATCACTAATTCAGATTCACTGATAGAATCCAAGATAAAAGTTATTTACCTCTACAACAAATTACAACATTCTATATATTTCTACAAACACTCATCAGTTGAATCAATTTTAAAAAATGATTCTTTATAAATTTGCCATGTTTTATGGTTTATGCATTTATGTTTCGCACCTTTTTATCAAAGAAAACAAATAGCTTTCACCATTCAATGCTTCGTCATTGATTACGTAGACTCTGGGGATTTACAAAATGATAGATCAATACAGGGTATTAGTAAGCCACACATTGGGTGAAAACTGCTCAAGTGAAACCAAATTAAAAATAACAATTAATATTTGTTTTATTTTCATATCTTCTACGACGATATTTAAAAAATATTTTTTTATTGGATTCCATATAAGACATAAATTCATAATCGTATTTTAAATACGAAAAATAAAAAGCGATTTTTAAATAATGTTTAGAATAGTAATAACACAAACATCTGAGGGGGAATCCATACATATCGAATCACATTTTAAAATAGAAGCTAAAAGGCAAACCGACTTCCATTCGATTTTACATTGCAAGTTTTCAATTTTTAGACAAAGCAATGAATACCAGGTAACCCAGAAATCTTTTCTGGCTGAGCTATAACACTTTAATATCAACTTCATTTCTCGTCAGGCCCTCATAATGAACAATGTGAATCAAACATCTCCGAGACTGCTGATATATCTGGGATTGTGCATTCTATAATATAACAATCAATATGGCTACGCATTTTTCAATCCATATTATTGGTTATGTTATTGGTTATATTATTGGATAGGTAGACCTATTCAAGTTTTTTGAGTGGATATCAGAAATATAACCCAAGAATCCACCTTTCAGCGAGGATATTTAAGACGGTGAATATTTTCTTCAGGTAAATATATTCCCAATCAAATTTATGCTACCACTGTGAAAATAAACACATGTGATTTGACTCTCCTCCTAATTAAATTATTTTTTTTTTTTATCAATTTTTCCTCAAAACCAATTCTCATATCTATTTATACAAATTTGAAAATAACCGTTTACCGGCTAAATAATTTTTCTTATCAGTCTACCATTTAAGTTGGTCACATAAAGCTCAACGCAGACACAGAGGGCCCGTTTTTAACAAATTTTCAAATTTACATCTTACAACTGAGAGATAAAAAGCTCATCTTGTGATATGACTTTAAGATTCCAACGTGAAATTTAAATAAACAAAACAAGAGAACACCCCATAAAGAGAGCATACGAGAGGGAGAGAGAGTGCGGATCACGTCGAATGCTTGCTTTGCTTATTTAGGTATTTGTTCGATACGATTTTTTCAAATTCAAGTCGTCAGTCACAAAACGGCGAGTAGAAGATACAAAACAAAACAAAAGAACGCGCATAAAACGGGGCGCAAAAGAGATTGCCAATTGGGCTTTTGAACTTGGAAAGAATGCGATGCGATCGGTATGTTTGCAAACGAATGTTTATAAATGTGCTGGTCTGGTGGCTGGCTGTGTGTGGTTAAGTTAAAGAAAACCTTTCTAAATTAAAGGCAAAGAAAATTGAAAAAATAAATAAACATAACAAATAGAATTACTAATAATAAAAATAAAAATTAATATGCAAACAATGTGTGGCAGTAATAAATTCAATTAAAAAATGTGAGTAATTAAAATCAATAGTATTAATAAACAATTTCAATTTTGAGCAATTAAGACTATCAAAAAAAAAACTATATACGGCGTTGATCCATTATTGATAAAAACAAGTGGCGCCTTTAACACAATTTAAGGTCACAGCATGAATTTTTTTTGAGACCAACAGAGAAAATATCTCAACAATTGTCAAATTTCGTTGGTGGTGTTGTATTGTATTTTTTCCTCATTGATTGTGGATTTTTGTTGAGTCAACATTGATATTTAACTCCGTAGACACAGAGATAACATCGACGAGATGGAAGAGGGGCGAAGCCATTACTACTCCGTGCATTGTCTACTTACAACAAATCAGATTACTGATATTTATTATTTGTATTATTTATTTATTTATACATTATTCAATTTAGTTTCAAGTGTGTGTGTTTGAGTTGGCATTTTTAACAACAACAGCAACAACCACAAGAACGAGAGACAAAAAGAAGCGAAGCAAAAAGAAAATGCTTTGGTGGGCTCGTTTTGAAATCAACAAGTTTTGTTATGTGTGGCGTTGTGGCATATTATAATGCTTTGTTCACAGTTAAGCAGCTCAGCTGATCATCATGGAGGCAGACACATTGACTTTCAGTTTGCAAGCGGATACTTGCCACAAAAGCATGAAAAAACAGTAATGAATAAGAAACAAAAACTAATGTGAATTGAGGAGTACACAAAGTGAAATAATTTTTAATTAATATGAAAAATAATTATTAAATTTAAATTTTTGTTGGTTTTTAAAGTTTGCAAAACCTAACACTTTAATGTAAAATAACTCCAAAGTGAAACATAGTTGTTAACGATGATGTCAACTTCAAGAATTTTCATCATGGTCAAATACAAATATTTCGAAACCAGTGGATAAGCATGTTGAAAGTTGTTATTACAAGTTACCTGTGTTGTTTTTTTACAGCAATAGTAAAGCAAATTCTTTATTTGGTATGTCTACAATAAAATAAATTATGTACATATATTAAAAACAGTTATAAGTTCTTTGTAAAAGCCTGTTTTTAAAGTTAATTATGTTAATTTGTAATTATTATCACATAAGGGAAAAATATTTTATTTGCTCCTAAAAGTAGGCAATTTTTTTGTGTTGTAGTGGTTGCTGGTATTCAGTGTGAGTTAAGCAATTCTTTACATTTCGTATTGACGTAATAAAGCATTTTTTTACATACTTCTGATAACAAATCGTCCACATATGTTAAGAAGGGTTGATATTTTGAGAACCTAATAGACCACATGAGATTTATTCGCAGGGTTCAGTCCACTAAGTATTTCACATTCGAAATAAAAGCAATATTCATTGGAGGATGTTTCTACATTAGAAATACTGAGCGTTATTTAGCGATGTCTTGGGAGATGACTAGTGCCAGTGACTAGTACAAGATCCTAAATGCAGTAACAGTCGACATATTTTAAAATCGGAACCGATTCCATTTTTTGTGGAGGATATTAAAAATATTATATATTGTTGTACCCATAAAAAAATTGCGAAAAAAGTTGATGAAATCTTTAAAACGGGTGTAGACCTATTAATTGCCGTAGTTTTGTAAGAGTTAATTCTAAAATAATTATCAGATTTGTGAGTCTTTTTATAGATATTTTTTTAACCTAAGGTCTTTGACTCTAATTTTATAATTTCCACTAGGATTTAAATTTTGGGAACATTTTCATGATGCCAAACATAGATCGTCGGCTATTTTGTAGTCAATAGATTCCATATGAACCTTTTCAGTTTCTTTTCATTTTAAGAATCTATTTGTTTTGAATCTACAATACGGAATAATTTCCATGACTATTTTTGTAAATAAACATATTTGGTATAAATATGTAAATAAGTTCATATTAGATATATGTATACACATACGTTGATATATTCAATTGTATTTTTATTGTTGGTTTTTTTTGTTGTTGTTAAAGTGACAAAGTTTTATTTACATATCACATACTGCACTCACATACATGACCACTCTGGCAAACACATTAACAATTATTGGGGTGTGGGTTAAAATAATTAACCCTCCAAGTTCATAAACAAATGGCAAGGTGAAGGTGATTACAGTCAAGAATTGTCGTTGTGATTAATTATTTAGTTAAATTTTAACAGCAACAACAATAAAAATACAAAAGTAACCAATAGGCCTAGAGCAGTAGTTAGTCACAGAAATAAAACATGCTGATTATGTTGGCAAGGTGAAAAAGGTGTTTAAGAAATGCCAAGGGTTCAATAACTATTTGGAGGCTTGTATATTTGAGCTAAGTGTGGGGTAGTAGAGGTTTAAGAGGTATTGAACATATTACAATCCATGGTAAACAATAAATAAACACTGTGTACACGATCAATATATTTTTGAGATTAGTGAAGTTTAGTTCCTGTCCATGACCGTTCCATTATATTTTAACTGTTTACGAGTATTTATTGTAGTTCGATTAGCACCTATAAATTCTGTAAATTTTTTCAAGTTAAATATAATTCTAATTGATATTAATCTCTTGTGTAAATAAAATGTAGAACATTAAAGTGGGTCAAATTTGGACATATTTGTTATTTTGTTGTATAAACTAAAATAAATAGAAGCATAAAACTAAAATAAAGAAGTAAAATAATCCCAAAAGAAAAAAAACGGAAAAAGTTAAAATTAGATCTACGTTGATGTACAACTGATTTCAAATTTTTTTCAAGTGTAATTTTGTAAAATGAGTAACTTGAAAATATGCTAAAATTTTAGAAGGACTTAAGATTTTATAATTATATATAGAAACTATAATGAGCAATATACAGAAATGTAGAACGATATTAGTACATTCAGGTATTCAACTTCTTTGGTGTAGAATAACAGATAATTTCTCTTCTCGAAGTCGATTTTTTTCATATAGTTCGTTTACATTGTGCCGGATTTCGTTAACCCAGTGGGTTTGAATTGTCAATTCCATTGTCAATATATGTCAATCCTCATAAATAGGTTAATCCGGTAAGAAGTTCTAATGTAAATTCCGTATTAAAAAATATATACATTTTTAAAAAGTTATTCAATAACTGTTTTGAATTTTGAAGTTTTATTCACAAATCAAATTTTTGAACAAAATCTTGTCAAATTCTCCAAAAATAAATTAACTTGAGTTCCATATTCATGTATTTTTGAACAGTTCCATACCCTTTGTCTACGTCTAAGTATTACCATTTCATAGAATCCTCTCTTTGAAAATATAATAAAGTTGCTCACTTTATTTTACCTAATTTTCAAAGTGTTACATTTGTCTCATGTTAAAGTACATAAAAACTTCATTCCTTCAAACTTGACCCCATTTTGTACTTCTTAATTATTATTATTCCAATTCTCCACATTTTGTCTTTTTAACTTTCTTATCACAAAGAAAAAACTTTGTGTTTTCCTACCACTTTCAAAAGAAATGCTTTACACAATGACTCTCAGACACGAAATTTCCGTGTGTTCTCATTTTGCGTACGGGACCTTACCTAACATTTAATTACCCCCCTTCTCCCCACCAATCAATAGTAAATTCTAAGCATTTCCTAAAATACATTACTCCTACCCCTCTCGCGCTCACTCTCTTTATCGTTACCAACCCATTTGTATTGACTTTGTATAGAAATAAAATTGAAGTGAATCTGCTGGGTTTTTGTGTAAACAATGGCAGGCCTACAACAAAACGCAAATACATATCAGTACAATTCTTTAATGATTAACCGTTATATTTATGGCCTTTTAGTGTGTGTATGCCTTTGTATTGTTGGCTAATAATCAATCAGTTCGTTGGTTGGTTTGTGTGTTCAATGACTGTGGTTGTAGGTAATTTCCGATAATTTAGAGGTGCGTGGTGGTAGCTTCATTATTTGGCTACTACCATCAACGAAACACATGAACGAACAGCAAGCAACAACAAATACACTCGCAATATGTAAAGTTCAGTTAATTTACCACTGAGCCGTGTGTGGTGGGAGAGTATGGCGGCATGTTTACTTCGCGAGAGAGCGAGAGTGTGAGACAGAAACATAACAAACAAAACCACAACATTTGGCATGTTTCCGTTTGCATGCAAACAACAGTCAGTACCAAAATAAAAATTCTACTAAAACCGTAAACTATGCAATGAGAGAGATGAGAATGAGAGTGACGTTAGAAATGAGAGTAAGACTTATTCTTTAATTGAAAAATAAGTTTACTCATTTGTGGCCAGTTATTCACAAATTAATTTAACTGAATGTTTTGTTTTGTTGTTTTAACGTGTTATGTTGTTGTTTTTATTTAGCGTTGATGGCCGTTAGTGTTTTTGCTTTATTGCTCTATGCTAGTGTGCGTGTCTGTGTGTGTGTTTTTTGCTACGATTGTGGTGAATTGTAGGGGAGTTTGTTTATTGTGTGACTTTTGTATGCTCTTGACTCTTTTTTCCATGTTGTTGTTGTTGGTTTTTGCTGCTGTTTTGTTAGCCAGATTTTTGTTTTATTGTTGTATGGCATTTATTTTTCGTTGTTTTTAGTTAATATTATTAACAAAACGAAGTTCTTTGTGAGAGGTTGTGTTGACGGTTCGCTTCCAAAGTGTGGTGAAGTACTCGATCGAGTGACGAGACGATCAGTTGCGGTGGTGGCATTGCTCGATGACGGTTTGTCATTTCGTAAAAAAGTACTACGCGGGTACTACGACGATTCCACGTACATGGCGATTCATACATGACGAAGTCGGTCGTACTTTGTTTGACGTGATGATGGTGGTTTTTACGTTAAGAAGTAAAACACGAAGAAAAAAATAAATAAATAATACAGAAAAAAATAAAATTAATGCAAAAAATAAAGTAGAACAACGACATAAAGGCCGCGTGTTGGAATCGTGACGTTAAAATTTTTACGGGTTTTTGGAATAGGAAACAAAAAATGAATGCAGAAAGTGTTATTTTCTAAGTGTTTAGAAAAAAAATTAGAAAAATTAAGCAAATATTTTCTGTTAATAACCACATTTGGTGTCATTAATTAATCATGGCCTAATATATTAGCACACAAGAAATTATGTGAATACCTTTCACAAAAGTGAAATTTATTTTGTGAAAGAAGAAGAAAAGTGAAGAAATGCAAAATAAAAAAATCAAAACAAATTCCCTTACATTTCTTATCTTCGATAAATCAGTGCAAAACCAGCAGCAACAACAACGACCTAGAAAACGAGTAAAACAAAACACAAGAAGAAAATAAAAAATAAATAAAACAACCAACAACTACCTCTAAGTCTGCCAAACAGAATGGATAACCGTCCAGCAGCAGCAGCAACAACAACAACACCAGCAGCAGCAACAGCTTCAGCATCAACTGTGGATAATGATGCAGATGCTGGTGATTATGGCCTGCTGCGAGTATTTCCCCAACGTCATCGGCGCAGTATATCACAGCTCATAGCCAATTTAGGTAGTTCCACATATTATCAACCACAACAACAACAGCAACAATTAAATGCCATTAAGAAAAATATAACAAAAAAACAAGTGGAAAAAAATTCCATAACAATATGTTTTTTGACAGATAAGATTGTGTTAAGTGCTATCATTAGAAACATGTTATGAATTTCTTTTAAAAAAATTGTTAAACAAATTTAAAGTTCTTTGTTGTCTTCTTTTTTCTGTCAAGACTCCAACTTCTTGCCAAACGACCTACCTTTGTCTTCTATATTTAGCCAAAAAAAAAACAAAACGAAAATGAAACATTCGTATTTGAACAAAATTTGCGGTTTCTTCAATTTGCTATTTATTTCAACGCGCTGTGCAAATATTTCCAGTTTCGAGTTGTTATTGTTGTTGTCATACTTTTTTACATACAATACTGACGCACTCATAACGTCGGCTCATGGCTTTTTGTTGTTATCTTTACGACATTTGGATTTTTATGGTATCGAAAAAATATTTTTAAAAAAAAATTACCACCAACTTGACAGCATTTCTTTACGTAAACCCAAAACCCCAACGTGCAAATGTATTTCTTGTTTCTTTCTTTGTTGATTTTTCTCTTTAAATATAATTTTTTGTTTGTGATTAGGGCTCAGTGGCCAATAAAATAAGTCAACATTGTTATTAAATGATGGCAAATAAATGTCGATTTTATAATTGGATTTTTTTGCGAATTTTTTTTCAAGTTGGCGAAATTTGATTATCCAATACCTGGAATTTAAAAATACGAAAAAGGGCCCCTAAACCGTTTAACTACATTGAACGAAGACAACCCTCAATTTCCCAACATAACCCAATTTTTTGACGTTTCGGTTGGAAATTCTCCTTTATTGAAAATATTTTGCAAGGGATTTTTGAGATTGAGTGCTGGGTATATTTTATACGAAGAATATAGGAAAATAAATAATAATGCCGATTTTTATATCCTTCACTATTAGGTGGAGGGTATATTCAATTTTGCATACTGTTCCCAACACCCAGAAATATTCCAGGTGTTCGGAGTCCAGAATGATATTCTATGTTGATTTATATGTTTGTCTGTCCGTCTGTTTGTTGAAATCACGTTATAGATCGCAATATTTAAGACAGAGCTCTGAAATTTTACACAGACGTTGCCAATACTTCTAAGGGTTTTGTATTGCACTTTGGCATAAATCGGCCAACGTTTTGGTTTAGCCTCCAATATTTGGTATTTTTGGAAATACACTGTAATTCAGTATAAATTTCGGCACAAGTATATCATTTCGATACATTTTGTTAGATTCACGTGATTAATTTAGACTGAGAAAAATCATATTTTACCAATTTCGATTCCCTGCTAATGATCTCTAAAAAGCAGAGTTCATCACCAATGATTTACAGTGACAACAAAACCAGAATTCCTCAAACTTCATTTATAATACCTTTATTGTCGGAAGAATTTGTGGTTTCACGCACAATTTCAATGATTTCAAAAATAGAGTACCGATGTTGGGCCACTTTACTAACCTCTGAGGCAAAATTATTGACACAAGTAATATAAAATGGCTTTCGAAGATAATCAAGAATATGTGGCTTTATTTTACGTCAATTCGTTCTAAAATAAAAACCAGAAAATCGATCTATATTAACTGTAAGACTGAACGATGAGGATTTAATTTTTGGTTCATTTGAATAAAAATATAAACAAATCTGATTTGTTTTTATCATTTCCTTAATTTTCTTTTTCCTTTTTCTCAATTAGTTTCAGGTCGCACTGTTGGCGTATTAGTGATATTTATCATACGCCACCTGACCTCGAACACAGTGTATGTTTCCTTTTATTCAACTCCGATATTTAATATTATTCTCGTGTATATTTAAAAACCAACAAATGGATTTGTATTTTATTTTAATTAATTTTCCAATTTAAAAACGTAATAAAATATATGAAAATTGACAAAAGACTCCTTTTAAATATCTCTTCAAAACAGACGCTTTTATTTTGCGCCTCTCTCTCTCTCTCTCTTATATATGCCTCTAACTGAGACTCTGAGTTATTGATATTCCAACTGTTTTCGTGGCAAATAAGGGCATGTTTTCACTCTTCCCTTCAACGTGTCGTTTTTAAGAAAAAAACTCTCTCACAAAACACATTTTTGATAATCGCTCTGTCCTGTGTGTATGAGTGATATAAGATCACATACTGAAACATTCTCTTGACGACTCTTTATCATAAGTAGTAAGAGATTTATGCAATGGAAACTGTTCATGGAATCTCTGTCATTAAGAGAATAAGTAATGAACATGATATGGAACTAGGAGAAAATGCACGATTTTAATAGATATAAAATATTTGGGTCAACTATTTTAAAGCCATTTAAAAAATTAAGTGTTTTTATACTTTTGTTTTTATTTTTTACTATTTTCAAATGAGTTTTCAAAAATAAGTAATTTAAGTAAGTAAATGATGAAAAATGTATATGTGGCTAACGAGAGCTACAATATAACATTTCTGAAAACTTTTGATAGAACCGTTTTTAAGGAGAAAATTATGAAAATATTTTATAAATTATTAAACAAGTCCCTTTCATTTCTGAATAGAAATTCTTAAGAACTTACTTAATACCTACCACTTCTCCAATGCCAATAGTTTTCTTCTGCGAGTTTATTTAGTTTCTAAGAACTACGATAAAAAGCCTTTCTTTTTCAACAATTAATTGTAAACAAAATTGTTGGCGCGGACAAAAGAAAAAATGGTCTGCTGATAAGGAAATCTTGACGTTTAGCTGCTTCTACTTATTTTTTTCTTTACATAAAAATAATGAGTTTTGTATTACATGGCAAGGGTAAGGTAAAACCTATAGGTTACTATACATACAAAAGGTGTAATTCTAGTAATAACCTTGCTTGCATTTGCTTGATAAATATGATAAGAAGTGTCATCATAATAAAGAGCTTGTTTAATTTTCTTTTTTGACAATAATTGTTTTGTTAGTTAGTCAACAAAACATGTGATTCGTTTTTTTTTTAAATAATAAAATGGTGATAAAAATGTTTAGGATAGTATTATTATCTCAAAGATAATCTGAACAAAACACTGATAAATGGTGGTGATAAAATATAAATTAGAATGCTAAGATTACTAAGCTATTTTTCACATCTTTTTATTTGAAGTTTTTTTTTTGAAAGATAGTAGTTGATAATATTTGAAAGAGCTTTAGTTTTTTGAAGTAGTTGAGAAAATTGCTTTTAACTATAAATAAAATGTTTTTATTGTCATATTGAATGTTCAAAGATCAGTAACTACTTTTTGACATTTTAAGGTCAATATGATTATTCTTTTGAGATAAAAATTAAAGAAATAATAATCCAATTGCAGTTTAAACAAAATCATAGGTCTGAGTTGTTTTAATAACATTGTTTTAATAACATTAAAATATAGCTAGGAGATAGAGATTAAAAACAAACACTAATAAAATATGTTATGTTGGGCGCCATTTATACAAAAACATAATTATTACAGAATAAAATTCTAAAAAAAGTAAATTAGTAAAATAAAAATTCGTAGACATTAGTCTACTATAACTACATCTAGACGCATATTAATGTTGTGCTATAACCCAATTTGGCCCCTTGTCTACTTGACCTCCTTAGAGTATACCTATATTCATTAAAATATACATGATAACCTTACTCGTGTAAAATACTGTTATATTTTGATTATATGACAGATCGGGGGTCTAGGAAAATACACAATTTGACCTCAAACTTTTTAACCCATCGTCACCAAAAAAACATAGATTCCGTTATTCAAACCTCAAACTTCGTCCATGATTTATATTTAAAAATCAAAAATCCATCAGTCTAACTTCAAGTTAGGTGATGAAATTAGTTCTAAATGAGGGTACCGACTAGGGTTTTTATATTGTAAATTTCCATGATATTTTGTATCTTCCGAGAAAAGAAAATGCCAAATAACAGATACTTAGGTTGGAAAATTCGGCAAGAACCTTGAACATTACGAAAATGAGGTGGAAACTATGTATATTTTCTGCCAAGAAGTTTTATATAATAAGTTTTGAGGTCCTGTTTCTTTATTTATTATTAATAATTACTGGAAATGTCTATGAAATCCATTTGGACTTCCATCCTTGGGTCGATTATCACCCAGAATCACAAGGTTCGGAATGTGTTTGGATTGATTAGTTTCTCTCTTTCAAAATTTCGTTTCCTTCTTATCACAATTCAATTAGCAAATTTTATTTTTGGACATACACCTGTGTTCTCTTAGGCGATCTTAAGGACATGAAGCATACATCGACGAGGTGAAGTAGGCAGGAAGTCTTTATAGGTGATTTGAAGGACAGGGGGTCTATTACTTCCGATTGCATTTAAAAGCTCCCTGTCCTGCAGCTCATATAAAAAGGGTTCTCTTCAGGTCAACAATATAGACAAGCTTTGCTTCTGTAAAAATTTTCCTCAGCTTACAATCGCCTCAAAAGACTGCCTGTCCTTCATTCCATCTAAAAACTCCCATTGAGGTACAATATACATACTTTTCGAACATCAGCTAGCCTGAAAATAGTCACTAAAAACCATCCCTGAACTGCAGCTGGCATATAAGGACTCCCGGAATTTTAAGTCATCCGAGCTGAAAAGCGGATAGTTTATTAAGCTGATCTGAAAGGCAGCAAGTCTATATAGACGGTCTGATCTTCTATAAATACGTCCACAGCGTCATCTAAAATATTCCCTGCCGTTATTTTAGCGAATTTCTGTAAATTATTTTATATTTGTGTTGTATCTTATTCTATACTTCTATAATGTCTTCAGCATGAAGCTAAACTAAATTTAATTGGAAAAAATTATATACATTCCCCACTAATAAATAGTTGTATTAATGCAAAAACAAAATACTTTGGAAAAAATTATGTATTAATAAAATATTTAAATTTTAAAATTATAATTATAAAAAAATTATAAAATAGTCTAGTTTTATGTTAT